CATTGTTAGCAGGCGGCTGGAACAATGTCAGGATAATTTGGCAAGTCATTACCGTCGCTTGACATGTTCCAACGAACCCTTTTTCGAACGATGACTTGAAAATTGAGTATCAAAAACAGAGAATTAAATTAAATAATGAACAATGCAAAATTTGTGAATTATTTTTATTGTTGTTTTTCATCACAAATTAAGTCACTCGTGAAAGAGAAAGAAAAAAGATTTCACGTATTCAAGTTTTTCATTATTTTTAAATGTTCTACTTTCACTCGGAGAAATGAAAATGTGTATTTAATTTTAAGGATAGTTAATAATTTAAAGATTGTTGATTGATATAAAAAATATTATAACACAATTATTTTTCAAATCATTTTAAGTCGATCAAAACTTTTTTGTTGGCAAATGAAGCATTTATTTTCTGCATGCAGAAAATGCTGCAATCAGCTCAAATGGATGTGAATTTTACAGCTTCGGTTGCAGGGTAGGAGTAACGGGAAATGCATCGGTCTCCAGGTGCTGTCAAACGGCCCATTATCGTTATTAACATTACCCGAGCGCTGCATCCACCATCATTATTGCCATTGTTCTCTTTTCCTACTTTTTATAGGTGCGGCACAATGGCCCCGTTGAAATGCACCTCGGCCACATTAGGTCGTTTAAGGGCAACCAAAACAGAGATCACGTAACCTATTGTATGCCACTTAGGGGCTGAAAGAAGAGCCTGCAAGGGCGTGTAAAACTATACCGCAGACACTGTCTCGAATGTCTCTATTTTGGCGCGCTTCAAATTGGCACGCACTAACACTGGAAGTGGCTGTAAAAATAATACACATGTCATTCAATGATGCATGTGAGTATTGGATTTCTTTTCCCTCTCCTGTCTGAACCTAAATTTGCCTATTAAATTGGAAATAAATCCAACCGTTATTTTCATTTCCAATAAATGATCTAACAATAAGCTTTCATTATAAAGAGGAAATGATTTTGAAATAATTTTTTTCTGAATAAAATAGTGAATTGAATGTTAACATATTGTTAGTGAAATACCTATACGTAGGCATTAATTAAATCATCATGTAGAAGAATCGCCAGTTTTTGAACGATAATTGGTCTGTGGTAGGCGTGAAAACGACGCTGAACGTTGAAATAAAGTGCATGTCATGCAAGGCTGGGCGGAGGCTTTGCGCATTGTTGTTGTTGCAGCACAGCCGTCACCAACAGCTTTCCTTGCTTGAAATTTTGATTAAAGTAATTATGCAGTCAAAAAGTTATTAAAGTATTGAAAAACTTTCAAATTTAAATTTAAAATGTTACACATTTTTTTTTTTTTTTTGTGAATCATTTGGATAGACTATGATCCTGCCAAGCTCCATTCGGTGCTTATCGGCTGGAAAGCCTACCAAATAAAAAGTAAATAATTATTAACATTGATCTTTCGACTTTCGATATACAAAATTTAAACAAAACGTAAACTGCTATTATTTTATTATTATGACTTGAAAAAAATCAATGATTTTTAAAATAGAAGCTCTTTTCAGTGAAAGTATAAAATACCGAATATTTTTTATTTTGTTATTTTCCACTCAGATCTTCAGAAAAGTATAGCTCTGAAAAAATTCAATAACCAACGGTAATCAATATTACCTAATAAAATACTTTATTTCCATAGAACTTAAAATGTTTGATTAAGAATTAAACCTACTAGTTTATACTTTTTAATTCTTATTCCACGCAATAAAAAGCAAAATTTTTTCCTGAAGGAATTCCAGTAAAATTTATTAATTTTTATTATTTATGGCTTTTTTCACTTCCAAAAAATCCTTTTCTTCCAATAATGTAAAAATTGTTTAACAATATGGACAAATAATCAAAACAATAATAAATAATTGCAAATTATTATTATATATGAAACAAGGTGTCGTTTTGCCTTCCAAAAACTAAAAAAATCACCCAATTCCAGCCAGCAACCACGTAACGCTTATTTTATTATTTAATTTCCTAACACGTGTTTGTGTCACCATATTGCTGTCAAAATAATAATAATAATTCGCCACATCCTCTGAATTAATTCATTACCACGGCCATTGTGTCACGTCTCTATTTATTTATTTACCTTTCGGGGAGAGCGTATCCTGCCAGTCATAGCGGCCGGGACACGCCAGTTTAGCCAGGTAATATTATTCCACGGCTGGCCCGCATCAGCGCACGCTTGTTATTTTAGCCGCGCTTGGCCGCCGGTAATGACAGTAATAACGCCGCGGATAAATATTGTGTGTGTTCGCCACGTCAAATTGCTTATTTCTGACGCTCGGCTGCGCGGAAAACAATAATAATCGCCGGTCTAATGGGCAAATTGAAATATTAGCCACGTCATTTGCTTTAATAATCGAGCAGGCTAGTGACCGAACTTGTGGGAATTTTTCTCTGGGCTTCTCGGAAAGTCATTCTTGGCAATTTTGTGAATGAATTGTACACAAAAATTTGACACACGCTCGTGTTCTAACAAAATCTGACCATGTGCACAGGACCCATTTTCTTATTATTACAAATTTTATTTAAAATATTTCATTTTTTAGCGATGGGCAATAAATAAATACATTTCCAGAAACTAAATAATGAGAAATTTTAGTGATAATAATTTTATCAGAAAAATTAAAAGAATTAATCAATATAAATTTAATTTAATTCTTCTGAAGACCAGCTGTGACACTTGAAAGACCCCCTCAGATTTTTTTGCACCTCGCGAGGGCATTTTCAATTCTCACAATCGACCTACCCACAGTGGCACAATCGCGGAAACAAGATCAGCCAATTTGCGGTGCAAACTGGCCGTGCGAAGGAAGTGGATTCCAGTTCGGCTATTATTCTTGGCTAAATTTTTAACACGCCAAGGTGTGAAGCAAACACGCAGCAGCATAAAAACAACGAACGTGTGATTCGGCGTGTCGCTCTGCTTTGTCTCGAGAGCGAGCGAGAGTTTGAAAAAAAAAAACACAACACAAATCCATACTATAGCAGGAGCGGCAGCAACTGCAGCAGCTTTTCAATGGGGCGTATTATCCGCGCACAACACCTCGGATCGCTCGCTCCAAATTAAATCAAACTCTTGTAAGAATTCCTCGGTAGGTGGCTGTTTGTTATTAACAGCGTGGCGCTATTAAGTGCGCACTGCGAGATCATTGTTTCGCGCGGCTGCAGCTGGACCGATAACACACGCACGCCGAGAGATGGTTTTTCGTTCTGCTAATCTGTTGGGCCAGAAAATTAATGCCTGACATTTTTTCCACTCGGAATGGCCTGTGGATTTGATAAACATTGTCGTCCAATCATGGTTGTTAGTGGTAAAATGGCCGGTGTAATTTCACTTTCTATGGGTTGAGTGGCAAAGTTATGCAACGAGGCCAACACGTTAAGAAGGCAGGTTGCATAAGCTTTTTTAAAGTTGCATAAATTAAAATTTTCCTTGTGGGGATTTAAAAAAAAAAATGTTTATTTCTCATTTTAAATAGCTTTAGAATTCGAAAACAAATTTGTAACAAAGCCAGTTGAAACAATGAAGCTAACTGTAATTAGGCTTTCCTCAAATGATTACAAAAGTTCAAGTTTTGATATTAAAAAAAATATTAATAATAATATTCATAAATTGTTTAAATTTATTTATTAAAATATTGCTATTTTAGAAAGTAGCAAATTTACAAACCAGTCAATTTACCTCTACCGCATGGCCAGATCAGTTAGCTAGTCTATGTGTGCTAGCGCTGCATGTCAAAACCAACGCTTCCATTTAGCTGGCTTCGCTCGCAGCGGGCCGTCACAGCTGCAATCAAAATTAAAATCTCGGTCTGTCGGCCAGCCGCACGTCTCTTTCTCTTCCGATCAATGAGCATTTAAACCTTCAAATCGCCGAAAAATGAACCCTCTCTTCTCTGGATGGAATTTATATTTTTTTATTCGCCAGGCCCCCCAGTTGTAGCATGACAAACGAGAGTTAAAAACAGCAGTTTGGGGGGAAATATTGGGTGGAAATTTTTCTTGGCTCGAGATTTGTAGCAGAGGCGGCCGTTTTGGCAGGGAGATGCCTCCGTGAAATATGGAGGAAAATCGGCAATTTATTTCTCTCGCTCGAATTCTCTTCGGCGCTGTTTGCGAATGAGGAAATCAAGTGAACTGGATTCTGAAACAAAAAGAAAAATTCCTAATGATTCCCCCTTTGTGAATTTGTTGTATCTTTAAAACCAATCTTAAGTATTTTTGATCATTTATTTTTGAACTAAAATAAATATGATTAAGATATTAAACTTATTAATGTAGTTATTCATTTATATAAAAATAGGGCTTTTTAAATTGTGAAAACTAAAAAAAAAGAAACATCTTTTATGAAGAGGATGGCAAAAAGCAATTGAATTATGCAGAATACCACATATGGCTTTTTGAAAAACAATTTCACTCGCTAACAACCTGCCCAGGACAATAAATATCCCTGCTGCTTTTCTCCTTCCTCTGAAGCTAGTAGTTTTCGCACCTCACCGTCGTTTTTTATGACGGCAATTCTATTATGCATGATATACGTACGCAATGCAGGCGTCGACCAATGAATATTTAGCACCCATCGCCGGTTTTTTTATGCGCCGCGTGCATTTTGCAAGAAAAAAAAAAGAAAACAGAGCTGCAGTGTGCTGCTTATCTCCATCATTTTATGTTCAAGTCAAGAGCGTTGTTTCCATAGTGACATGCATGCCGTCGAAAGAGCGTGCGCTGGCCTCCGGGAAATTCAATTTTCCACTCATTGGAAATTGCCAATGAAGCCGTCGCTTCGCTGCTCAACGCTAAAACAACAACAAAAGCCGGCACACTTTTGTCCGCTCATTTCACAACGACCTGAATTGCACGCTGCGTTTTTTAATTAAATTATTATTTACAAAGATGCTTATTTTTCCACAATTTCATTTTTCAAAGCAAGCATTTGTCAATTTGGTGATTAAAAGTTTCCTCTGATGTTTCAGGTTTCCCGTCGCTGAAAAACTCGTTTGTCGGTGGAGGATCGTGCATGCCTGGTGAGTAACAAAGGACATTAATATCCCGGTGTAATCAAATAATCTCTGCGCTCGTTTTTGGATAATATTCCCAAAGTCTCTCTCGACGCCAACTTCCAAAACATTACACCCACATTTCACATAAAAAGTACAAATTCAATTATCCAATTACACTGGTTTTTTACCGCCATCATTTGCATCCCCATCTCAGTGATGCGCAGGGGCGTAAATAATGTGATTGTCGTTGAGCACGACCATTACTTTTCATTATTAATTCAAACGCGCGTGTCATCCATAGACTCACACATGTGTGTTTGTGTATAAATGTATGTTGCGAACCAAAAACAGGGGACTTGTCGCGTTAGTGGAAATTTTCGACGGATAAATTCGAATATATAGAGGCAGTGCGGCGCCGGCACCCCTTTTCAAACCATGCACCCGCCGGCAGCCGTTTTTTTCCATGTATACTTTTTATTTCACACTCAATGAGGCGGAAAAAGCTCAAAACTATGCGAGTGGAGGGGCCGCTCATAAACATTCATTAAACTCTGCGCCGCGATTAATTAAGCTATCAATCAAGTCGCTGACCAACTTCAAAGTGCGCCTGGCGTTTTAGCTTTGACCGACTTTGAGCGCAATTTGCTTTTCAGCTTTGCTTAAATTATTTTTCTGTTCCCAAGAATTGAAGAAGTAGACTGGAAAGTATCAGATTAAAAATTTCAATTAATTACAGCATCATTATAAAAATATTTTATTTTCAGAATATTTTACAATCATAATACAATTTAAAAAAGAAATTGTTTCAAATTTAACTTATAATTTCTGATTGACTCAAAGTAATAATTATAAAAAAATTTCACTTTTTCATTTGGTTTGTTGTTGTATCTATGTCTCTATGCATGACAAATGAAGCGCCTTGATGCCGCTACCCCCTAATGGCTAACTTTTCCATTTAGCGTCACGCACAAGCAGCTCGTTGGAGCGTTAAACATTAATTTTCTCTAATAAATTGGCAAACAAAGGCTTAAAAGGAAAGCACTCTGTTGCTGGCTGGCGAAGGCGGGCGGAGTAAGAAACCCTCCTCCTCCCCGAAGATAAATCTGTTAACTCCGTCGTCATCTTTTTTATTATGATGGCCTTTCAGCGGCGGCGGCGCGGGTTAAAGCGAGCGAGTGCTTCCTTGGCAGAGGAGCGCATTAGCATGCTAATAGCTCCTGCCTCGCCGAGTGATGCGCTAATTTAGACGGGAATTTTCGCTCCATAGAGCCTGTCACATTGATGAGCGCTAAGTTGTCTTCGCTAATGAAAGCTCGGCCTCGCTTGCGCAAATTGCCTGGCCGACGCAAAACAAATTAATCGGAAAATCAGAGGCAGTTTCTTCAATTTGTATAATTCCACCATCAGACGAGTTTTTTAAAAGCAAAATTTTACAAGACAAACTTCCCAAATATAATGATTTTTTATCGTATAATCTTTGAAAGATATAACTAAATTTTTTTAGCAGCAATTTGCTGGTGTAAAAAGTACTGGCACAGATATAGACTGATTTATTTTTTACGCTAATTTTATTAATTTTAAATTAATTTCACCGGAGGAATATATAAATCCGCGTGTCGGCTTGCTGCTCAAAATTATGCAAAATTGTAATCTTGCAAATTATGCGGAGAAAGTTGCGTCGTCAAGTGAATTTCCCAGACGTCCTAAATTTTTTAATTTGGCTGAAGTGCAGGCCACACCGTGCACAATGGGCGTGAAAAATTCGCACGCGATTTCTTGAGGAACGAGCGAGCAGCCCCGCACAAAAGGATGGTGTTAATCTTTTGTGAACAGAAATTCATCTCTCTCACCTTAAGAGAGAAAGAAAAAAGAAAGAGGAGAGGGTCCGCTCTCGCAGGCTGACTCAAACAACAGCGGAGAGAAGCAGCACCATGATATTTCTTTTTTTTTTTATTCCCTTAACACTTTTTCGCGACCCCGCGAACTGGAAAAGGGACGGGAGGAAGAAATTAAAGAGCAAGAGTAGGAACCGAGAAAAATGCGAAAAAAATGTGGCTTATTTTCCATTTTTAAAGAGTGACTTTTCTCTCCGGTGGAAAAATCGATCTGGCCGCCGAAAATTGTACACCAACGTGATATTTCCGAGATTTTTTTTCACACTGATGTATGTGCTGAAAGCGGGGTGTTATTAGCCTGATGTTTAGAAGCGCGTCGAGTGGTTTTCGCGCCAGCACAACTCCTCACCAGCGCAGCCAGACCGATTGCTAGAGAGCGTGCAGCAGCAGAGCTCGGCGGAGGCATTCAGAGCGAGGCGTGAAAAGTGAAGTGAGAGAGAAAAATGAGTACGGCAGGGATAGAAACAAAGCAACAACCAACCCTCTCGTGCGATGTGTACGTTCGTGAAAAAAAAACTACTGCATCAAAAATGCTCCGGCTGCCTCTCTCTCTCTCTCGTTCGCGCTGCTTTTTATTAATCCATTTATGCTCGCTGCCGTGCTAAATGCATTGTGTTTATTTGGAGCTGCGCGCGAAAAACTCGCACCGAGAGATGCTTTTGTTGTTCCCCGTGCTTTACCGCATTCTAGTATGTTCATACTGTGTTTACCGCGTGCATGTAATTATGCGTATTGGTTGGTACTTACTCGCAAAATACGCAGAATGATGTATTATTCTGTTCAACTTGCATGGTTCTCTGATGGCGTGGGACGATTGTTTTTCTCTTTGTACGGGTGTTGCTTTATTTTTTAATTTTCCACTCACATATATTATGGACGCAAATTTCAAATTACCAGTTGTAACCTTGCAAAAGATATAAAAAATTTGTCAATTGTTAAAAGATTCACTGCCGTAAAGAATTCTGATCTTTTAAAATTCCTTGTTTAAAATTAAATTATTTTGACATGAAATTTTCTAAGTTAAAAAACAAATATAGAAGAGTTTGGTAGAAAATGGGTTAGTACAAAAATAAGAAATAAGACGCTTAATTTTATTATATTAATTAGAAATTTTAGAGAACATATTTTAGAACTTTTATTTCAATATTTATGACTTATAAATAGCCATAAATTATCGTATTAGTATTTTGTTATACTTTTCATCGCATTTAAATATTATCTAAATAAATTATTAAAAAAAAAATGGAAAATAGTTACCAATGTAACTGTAAATTCACCAATTGGTACAAGAATTAAATTTTAAACTAATTTTACAGCAGCGTGAACCGTTGATTTGAAATGTTAAATACTTTTCATCTATTTCCAAAAATTTATTTTTAATTATTTACTTGTTTTTTGCTGCACGTCAAGACACCCCTACGCTCGAGTTTAAAACTCCTTTTAGTGCCTTCTGGCTGGCAATACAGAGACAATCAGAGTAAAATACCAGGCCGATTTTAAAAAAGAGCAAAGCGATCAAATCGGTGCTGACAACGATCCCTTTTTCTTCTCTTTTTTTCCCTCGGAAGAAATCAATATTCGCAGATGCGCTGCTAATAAACACTGCGAGCGTGAAATTGTCGATAAGTCGGTGTGTTTCGCTGGCGCACAATCGTCATCAGTGGAATGAAAAGCGACGAGAAAGCCACTCTGGCTTGAAAATCCGGCGACGTGGTCGCACAATGGCCCTCTCTAAAATTCCTACTCTTTGCGAGCTGCTACTTAGGAGCATTATTCTGGCGTCGCCTGATGAGGCTCATTTCACCAGAAAATATTTTTATCGATTGGCACTTTTTAATCTCTCAAGCGACGGCAAGGCGCGAGCAGAGGAGCACGGCGGCGGCGCCGAAAAAAATTGTGCTCTCTTTCCTCATTCACACCTTGAGCGCGCTCGCTCTCACACACACACTCTCGGGGAATTAGCTTTCTTGCCTTGATTTCGCTTCGCTGAATACATTTTTCAGCGAGCACTCGCCTGCAGAAAGGGTTGCCAGAGAGCTGCACGGAATGCTATTGTAATAACAATGTACAAGGAAGCGTTATTTTATTCAGAGTATTATTTACATTTCCCAAATTAACAGAAAATAAGAATTTAAAACTTAATTACAATTTGAAAATGATTATTTTTATGAAGCAATGAACTGTATCATTGAATAAAAAAATGACAAACACGAATCGTGGAGAGTAGAAATTTTTCTTATGAATAATCAATTAGATCATCGTTGCTCACATTTAAAAAAAATTAAAGTAGAAATATAGATTATAAATAATATCATTTTTGATAAACTAGAAAAATACTTTAAAATTTTTTTTTTAATTTAAAATCTGATAAATAAATAAAATTATATTAAATCTTTAACTATTTTTTTAAAGATTATAAAATATGTAAACAAAACTTAATCTTCTTTTTAAAAGTATAATTTTTAAAAGTTTTTGTCAAAAATAGTTTAAAAAAAAAAATAACGGCAATGCAGGTTTCTTATGCATAATCTACCCAGTGAAATCCCAGGGCGCGCCGTGTCGCGCCAGCCGTGTTGTGCTTCTCTCTTATTCAGAACAATTCTTTTCTTTCATCAGCTCCAGCACCATCATTTCAAGCCCCTTCTTAGCGGCACTAATCTCGTGAAAAATTTCATACTCTGAGGGATATATGCGCAGAAAAGCAGCTAAATGTGTAACAATGCGTACTCGTCTGCGCGGCGCTTGTCGTCGGCGGGTCGCGCGGTGTTGAAAGGTGCACCCCAAAAAAGAAGAAGTATGCCGCGGTACATATGTACATTGAAAATCTCGAGGCACAACTGTGAATGTCTCCAGCGAGCATGTATGTATATTCATGGATTTCTCGTCGTCACTCTCATTTGCATGGATGTTAGAGGGGGGTGGAAAGGAGCCACGCAGCTAATTAAAGTGACGCCGAAGAGCGAGAGGGAGAAAGAGAGACGACGGTGTGAGTGAATAAAGAGAGTACAGCATATATACGCACACATCACGAAATGTGAATACTTCACGGCTTTATGCAAACCGAAGCGGGGAAGGCGCGCGCACGTGGGATGGAATTTAATTTGCATATCGAGGAGCTAAAATGCCCCT